GGACACAAAGGGTGCAGTCAGTGCCACCTTCTTTTCTGCGTGTTAGAATAAGACCATCCCATGGTGATGCTGACCATTTCTTCAGCCAGATCCTAACTACTGCTTTCACTGTTGCAGTGACTGGATGATTTTCTTAGGCTCCCCATTCTATTGGAGAACTTCACAACAAGTGTTTTATATACAGTGATTCTTTTATTATAATTAATTTATAGCATTGTATAAATAATTCACAGAGTAATTGTTGACCCTCTTCTCACGAACCTTCTTTGAAGTATGTTACATAAGAAGCAGGACTTGGCATCAGGGCCTTTGGTTCACTTGTGTCTTATTAAAGAGACCGTTGGTTCAGCGTTTCTATTTTGCCATTGTGATTCAGAGTCTTTATATCCAATTGCTCTTGAAGTCTTTTCTCCAAAAGGAGAGAACTGGGGGGGGGGGTTTCCTCCTTATTTTGATGACCATTTTGCTAATAAATTGACATTTAAAACATACCATGTTGTCACACTGAAATCTGAAATATTTACAGTCAGATCATAGGTTGCCTTCCCATTCTTAAATTATATCCTGCCTCCCAATCACTAGACAAGCACAGATGCTCCCTACCATACATTTTTTCTGCTTGTTATTTAAAATAATTTGATTGGAGTATATTCAGAGATTAATATTCAGAATAGAGCTATAGAAATTAGAGCCTATTTAACTTTGTAAGATTGTACAAGCTTTATCAGAAAATATATGATCAGCTCTGGGTTATTTATTTTGTGAAGAGTAGTTAGCTGGGATGGTTCATAGTTTTTTGATTCTCCTAGAATTTGAAATTCTAAGCATAAATAATTTCAGTAAACACTGTAAAATACAGATGCGGTTGATCTTATGCATGACATAAATTGAGTAGGAGTCCAAATGTTGGAATATGAGCATAGGTTGTTTCTCCCTTATGTCCTGTGTGGATGTAGGACTTTTAAGTATTTTGTTTTTAAATTTTTCTTTTCCTAGTCATGCATAGTGGTGCATGCCTATAATCCCAGCACTCCGAGGCTGAGGCAGGAAGATCACCTGAGTTTGAGACCAGTCTGAGCTGCAGAGTGAGTTCAAGGCTAGCCTGAATTACACAGTGAGACCTTGTCTCATAAAAACGTTTTTTCTTTTCCTTAGTTGTAAAGATTCTCATAGAAGTTATTTATTCCTTTAGTGATGTATCTTTTTAATAAATTCTCGTTAGGATTGAGTTGAAGGAAAGCACATCTTTAACCTTAGATGTATTGGCCTATACTTGTCCTTAAGATTTCAGACAGCAAGTATTAGAATCACTAGCAATAGTCCCCAGGCACAGCTTTTGAAATCAGTCAAATGATTTTTGGAATTCTCACAGTGTGTAAGTTACTCCACTTGGTGGTAGGGGAAATAGAACGTCTGTACTCATGACTTTTGGGGTCTGTTGCCAGCCTGCTGTCTCTGCCTCCTCATCTCCTTTACTCTGCTTCTCATCTTCTGATCCCTAAATTTAGATATTTAAAGATAACTTCTTATCTGTCTTTTTTTCTGCCAGCCTGTTCCAAGCCACTGTCTCCTCTCACTGGGATTATTACAACAGTTTCCCAACTAGTCTCCCAGTTTTTGTCCTTGTTTTCCTGCAACACGGTTTCTCCACCCAGCAGTCAAAGTCATCTTCCAAAAGCATTAGCTTTCTTCTTCCACTTAGGTCATTTGGAGTAAAAGCCAGAGTCCTCTCTCTGGCCTGCGTGGTCCTGTGCAAGTCTGCCTGCCCACCACCTCTGACTCACCCCTCTGCTCAGCCTCGTGCTTCTTTCACTCTGTGCACGTTTCCACTGAGGTCCTTTGACCCGGCCGTCCTCCTTCCGGAAGCGTCTTCCCGCAAAAAGTGTGGATAGTGGTTGTTCCCTGGTGCTGGTCTTGTTGTTATTTTATATATATTCAAAAACTCATACCAGGCTACTAGCTTTTGCCATCCTAAACTGTACATCCTTGTGTGTTCAATTTTAAAGGCTGGGGCAGTTCCCAGAAGGCCTGTGCTGGCCACAAACAAAATAGAACACTCAGGATGAAGCACTAAAATATCTCATAAGAATGCCTCCTCTATGCATTCTTTGGCACAGGTAATTACTGTAGCAACAACAAACTAATTTGAAGTGTTAGCTGTTAATTAAAACATTGCGGAGGTGTATAGTTCTCTTTCGGTGTAACCAGAGCCTGCATTCAAACTTCATTAATCACTCTCCAGTTAATTTGTTGAGGAAGGTCGAGACCATTGAGATGCAGTATCCAGTTGAGACTCACTGTTCCAGTCTCTGCTGAAAGTAAAAAATTCCTTTCTCCAGGTAGAATGCTGTTTGCAAAGCGAAGGGACACACTCAACTCGTGTCTGGCATTGCCTTTGTCATCTACTTCTCCTTGATGATTAAATGTTAAATTGGTACTGTCATTGCACTGTAAACCAAGCCACATGGCATCTTTATTGCTCGAAATCGAACCCAAACTTCCACGGATGAATTAGCGTGCGTCATAATTAAATCATCAAGCCTCCCCTTTTCATTCAGTTGGAAATAGGAGACCTTTCTTTTGGAAAAGAGATCAGTTTTCTTAACAAGCTAATTAAGTTGCCAAACTGTCCAGTATAGCATATATATTAGACTGCTAATCATCTCCTTATCTCTGCAGCTGGGTCTCAGTAGTCCAGATGTTATAGCATTGCTCTTTTTATAATTTCCAAACCCTTTTGTAGGCATTAAACTATTTGTCTTCTTATTTCAATCCTTGGTTATTGATTCTAATGCACAGTATTTTTTTAAAAAGTTGAAATTGGAATAATCTGTGATATGCAAGGAAAAATAATACATTGTTATTAAATCTTACGTATTACCTGTATTAACATGGAATAAAGTTACTAAGTTCTTCAAATCACGTTTCAAATTGTATAGTCCAGCAAGTCCTCTGTCAGCCATTGAGAAAAATATGACATAAATTTTTATATATCCACTTATTACATATGTTTAGATATATCATGAGCTAAAATGTTTTGCATTGTAAAATGTAGATTTGCATTGTGTTAGCATAGATAGTAAAGTAATTTGCTCTGAAATAAGTATATTAGTGTATTCAAAGTATATATTTAATTGACTAAAGTTTGTAAAAGATATATAAAAGAGATTGTTATTTAAAGAAACTGTTTAGATACTTTCACAGAAAAAAGAATTCTTTAGTAGTGGTTTTTATATTCTTGCTTTTCCCTTTAAGTCACCTGTATCTGCACTTCTTTATAATTGACTGATATAATAAAAGCTAAGTTTATTTTCCATAATTTGCTTAAACTTTGTCCAATTAAGTAGGAAAAGCAGAATGAGTAAATTCTTATAGCGTATGTGGATAAATACAAGCAAAAACACGTGTGTTGGGGCTGGGGATTTAGCTCAGCGGCATAAGCGCCTGCCTTACAAGCAGGCAGTCCTGAGTTCAATCCCTGGTACCGATCAAAAGACAAAAAAAAAAAAAAAAAAAAAAAATACATGTGTTTCCTAGTCTTGCCTGTAGGCTCTTCCTATTTCCGTAAGTCAGTCACTCTCAAAACATTTGTTGGCATTTGCTCAGCTCTGTACATTTGCTAAAAATTATTGACTCATTTTCTTAAAACAAGTGAACATTTATCATATGAATTAAACTTGGAGAGCTATCAAAACATTTGACAAAACAAACCAGATAGTTTTGCCAGAACCACAAAATGATGCTTTGATAATAGTGGTAATAGTGGAATGTGTAAGTAGTTGTGTTTTAAGAAATGGGCTCTCTGGGGTTCTGGTAAATGTGTTTTGCCAGCAGGCAGATGAGGAGGAGGAACTCGTGAGGTGCTGAGTTTTCCATCCCTCCCTGGCTGTGCCCCACTTCACACTGCCAGGTGAAAGGAAGACCATCCTGATCTGGGCTAATACAGGAAATCCTCAACAGAGCAAATTTTAGTTCTTCCAAACTCATTTGCTTCTTTATACTTGTATGTGCTTGCAATGGCAGTGTTATGTGGTTTATTTTGAAGTTTTTATACAAGTCTGTTTGTTCCTCGATAAGAGTCAGAATATGTAGTCTCTGCAGCGTACAGATAAAAGGCTGCATTTCATTTAAACACAGTAGCTCGTGATGAAAAACTTAAGATTTTCATTTCAACAAACCTTACTTTCTTACTGCTTTTCATAGATGAGTGTATTCATAGTTGATTCTTTTCTCTTTTTTATTTTTTTTTATAGTGCTGGGGCTTGAACCCAGTACCTCATACTTGCCAGGCAAGAATCTACCCCTGAACTGCATCCTCACCTCTTATTCATATTTCTTGGTTTAAGTTATAGTTATTTGCTGAATCTGTGACTTTGGGCCTATCTTTCTATTTGAAGAAAGATGAATTCCATGTTTGAACCTGATAAATATGATTTCTTAGTTATAATGCAAGATTATGTTGCAAGCCATAGCTACTTATATGTCTTCTGTGATTATTTTTATCAAATATAATAATACAGTTTATCTGTGTATGTAATTGAGAGAAATACAAATAAAACCTCCCATTTTATACATGCTTCTGTAGGGTGCTTAGAATAGAACTGTAGAGACCCCACTTTCCCATCACATACACAATGACAGTCCCAGAGGATCCGAAGCCAGAAAGTCCGATTCCATACCCAGTTCTGACACAATTCACTTTATGGGTTGGGCAAACAGCTTAACTTCTCTGTGCCTCCGAGTTCTCATCTGTAAAAGGATAAAATTAATAACCAGTATTACGTGGGAGCTTTATTGTAAAATAATGTATAAGGAATCTCATTGTAAGCCACTAAGCTCTATAGAAGTATAAATTACAAACCAATGTGATTAATATTCTTTGATCATACCACCTAGGTTTCCAATTGCTGTAAAAATGTTTACATTGACATTTATGTCCTCAACATTTCATAAAGTGTTCAGTGATCTCAAGTAACTTTGCTGTTTTTTTCTTCCTGTAGGGCATATCATGTCCCAAGTGGGAAAATACTAGCAGTAAAGGTAAGTAGTGGACTCGCTTTGTGAAAGTTTTGATGCTTTCCTTTCCCATTAGCTTGAGTCACAGGTGTTGTCAAAGAACAGGTGAAATGGTATAGGGTTCAGCTGGTAGGGAGAGGAAGCTGTAACCCTGCTGTAATATTCAGGCATCTAGGAGTGTTTTAAGTATCACAAGCTCTGTTCATTGTAGTTATTCTGTCGGTAGCTCTTCTCATCAAGAAGAATTACACTAACCAAGAAGCCTGGGTATCACTGTGGTTCTGCGCATGCAGCTCATCCCCTTAGTAGTCTGTGAATTCCTTTATCTGCCCCAGCCTGTAAATTGCTGTGTCCTCTTAGACGCTGTGCCCACAATGTAGCTCAAGATGTCTGCCTTGCTTCTACATGGTGGAGTCAAGCAGCACATAATTCAGGGGTGGTCCAGGCAGTTCCCTGTGAATCCTCTCTCTGGTTCCCATCCTGTCCATAATCCATGCACATCTCCGCACACTTCCAAGTTCCCGGTGCTACAGGGCTCTTTGGATTTACTCCCTGCCCCTCACTGTTGGCACTGCATCTTCCTGTCATTTTAAATCTCAGGTTTCCCTCACAGACTGCTTTGAATTGCACCTCAGACCGAACGCTTTGCAACCTTATGCCCTAACTCCACAGAACCCTAGGTCTGCCTTACTGGTCTGTTACATCCTATCATTCCTTTATCTCTGGGCTCTAGGCCTTTAGTAATGCAAGCTTTAATTTTTGGAGTAACTGTTGTATGCCAGGTATTGCACCTCATAATTTCAATCCTTAAAACTACAAAGTAATTATACCTATTTTAGACTTGAGGAAACTGAGACTCAGAAAGCTGAACTGCCTACAGTTACAGAATTGGTAAAATGAAGAGGTAATTTTACAGGGACAAAATGAATTTTGCCAACTCCAAAGCTCATGTTTTCTATCAGACTGTACTGCCCTTGTACAGCTTCTTACCATTGTTCATTCCTTAGTTTTCCACCTATCCCTTTCAAGACCCATCTCCAAGACGCCTTCATAGCTGTCCATAGTGAAAAATTGGTCTCTTTCCGCCAGCACTTGTACAGTTTATCTTAAACTTATTAAGATTGGGAGCAAGACCAGGTATGGTGGCTCCCCGCTGTAATTCAAGCATTCAGGAGGCACAGACAGGAGGATCACTATGAGTTTGAGGCCAGCCTTAATGGCATGGTGAAACCCTGTCTCAAAAAGACAACAAAAAGAAAAAAAAGAATGAGAGCAATTAAATTATGATTGGTTGGGCCTTGTATTAAGGTTAAATGAAAACTAAGGCTCAGCTCCTCTGGCTGTTAGAGCATCCCAGAGTTCTTTTTCCATATCTCACTGAGTACAGCACCTAGAATGTGTATGCAGCATCATTGAATTTTAGCTTTAGTAACTCACACAGCTTGTGGCAGGCAGGTGCAGCAGAGCTCCCTCTTGTGATACTGTCTTTGACACTCTATCCAAACTAGGCTCACAGAACTGCAGAATCACAAGAGACCTTGGAGCCGTCTGTTAGGGTCATCCATTGTAACCCTCCATTTTACAGAAGAAACCAGAGACTTCTCAACAGAGGTGCTCGAGGGCCTAGCTCCGTCCCAGGCTTCCCTGAGTTCACCAAGTGCATCCTTCTTGGGCACTGTGGCCCTGGGTTGTCCTTCCTGTGCTCCTGAGATCATTGAGAGAACACCACTAACTAGAGCATTATTTTCCTTTCATTTATTTGCTCCTTTGAGGCCAAAATCTTAGGTTGTTACTGGTGATATATTTAAAGATAGTGAAATCTAGGTTATATATTCTGAGGAGAGGAGCTCTGCTATAAATCATCATCCAAAAACAAAACAGTGTCAGTATTTAGCCTTACTAAATTTTTGTACTTTAATATGTTTTTAATTATGCTTCACATAGGCTGCTATTAAAATTCGGTGCACTATTAGACCTGGCAAAGAATCACCAGCTATTTCTGTTAACAATTAAAGTCAATTTTTAAAACAGAACATGCTTTACAAAATAATCATTAGAGACTTTCAGTAAATGAAAATACTTGAGCTTTACAGATATAGTCTTCATGAGCACCCGGCCAATAAGCTGCACTTTGGAACAAGGGTGTATTGTACCCCTAGATTCTGTACCATCTACCTGATACTCAAACTGAATCAACTAATGAGTTAAGACTAGGTATGATGATTGTGATTAAACATTTTGTTTAGCCCCGAGTTTCCTGGTGGCCAAGGCAAAAACTATGGGGTGTGCATAATAGTCATAATCTAAGAAAAAGCCATGTACTGTTTCTTTAAAACAGGTAGCATTATTCATTAATTCTTAGAAGTTTGTTATTTTAGAGGCTTTGAAGACATCTTTGTTACCAATTTCTAATGTAATTTAATTGTAGCTAAAGAACATACTTTGTATATCTGGAATTTAAAATGTATTGAGGCTTATTTTGTGGCTCAAAATATGATCCATCTTGGTAAATGTTCTCTGTATCCATGAAAAGAATGTGTGGTCCAAAGAATGAAGAGGAGGCAGGCATGGTGGCACATGCTTATAATCCCAGCACTTGGAAGGCAGAGGCAGGAGTATCATTGCAAGTTCGATGCCAGCCTGGGCTACAAAGTGAGCTTAAGGCCAGCCTGAACTGCATAGCGAGACCCTGTCTCAAAAAGACAGGAAAAAAAAAAAAAAAAAAAAAGAACAAAGAGGATGTTAGATTAATTAACATCAGTTAGATCAAGGTAGTTGATAGTAGTGATCAAGTATTCAGTGTATGTGTTCTATCATTTATTAAAAGAGACACACTGAAATCTTCAACAATATCTTTGTCTATTTTTTCCTTCCAGTTCTGTTTTTACTTCTCATGTGTTGCAGATGTACGAGTAGATGCGTGGAGGGCAGTGGTGGGGAACCTATGGCACGTGTGCCACAGCAGGCTGTTCATTATCATTGAAAACTCTAAAAGGTGCACCATCACTGACACAGGGTTTTATATCCTCTTGATCACTTGGCCTTTTTGTCATTATGAAATATGTCATTATGAAGTGACCCTCTTTGTCCATGGTCATATTTTTTGCCTTGAAATCCACATTGTTGTTTCCGGGAGAACATGGCGGACAGATAGCAGCAGCTACGGAGGCTCTCTGAAAGACCCAGCTTAGAGTCCAGGAATGGTGCGGAGTGAGGAATCCTAAGCAAGAGAGGAGATATGCCCTGCTGACCCAAGAACGAATTGGGCTGAGAGAAACCAACTGGGAATGCAATCCTGGTGCTATAACAGGAACAGATAAAGCCTCAGCGTGGAAGCTGGAGCCCGCGCCATTGGAAACCACAATTTGGGTTTCCTGCTGCCGTGGCTGCGTCTGAATCAGCTCGGCAGGGAGACAGACACGCGAAAGCTCTGAGAACGGGAATCGGTGAACGGAGTTGAGAGCAGGACGGGTGGGGAGCCGTGCATCGACCTGCGGTGAGTGAGAGAAACTGGGACTCTTCCACGATCTAGGAGGCTCCAACAGAGGACATTCTAGGATCGGGCAGACTGGCCGGAACAGGGCGCTATAGTGACTTTAGTCACATATCCCCCTCTCAAGTGAGACTGGTGAGCAGTGCCTAGCCTACGTGACGCTGCTGGCTGAGACGCAGTAGGCTAGCACAGCCCAGGTCCCAGCGCCTGAAGGTGACCTGAAGGGGCAAGCCCCGCATAGGCTGCCTAGTCCGTAACTCTCTGGTGCACTGGCGTGGGCGGGAACACCTAACAAGCAATTCAGTCAGACTGTGGCCAACAGGGAAGGAAGCTGGGCCTCCTATATACGCTTGCATATATAAGGAACAAAAAATATGGGAAGAGGGAGCAACAAGAAAGGCCCCTCAGCCCCCAATCCTGAGAAACAGGCAATAGTGGACACTGCACCAATAGACATAAAGCGCTATCTCCAGAGTCTCATAGACGAGTTCAGGAATGAAGTTATTAATGATGTGAAGCTAGAAATAAGCAGAATAGTTAGAGAAATGCTAAGCACCACCCAAGAAAAAACACATGGTGGAATGGAAGAACAGAAAAAAAGGGGAGAATTGTTTGATGGAGAAAATAGAGAAAATATAGAATACGTGAAGCAGGTTCAAAGAGATTACCAGGAAACTAAAAACTCTATCGAAAACTGGCATAACAGCTTGAAAGAAACTAAGGACAGATTATCTGAACTGGAGGGCAGATTTGTAATATGGGAGCATGAAATGAAAAACTTCTTAAAAATAACAAAGAAACAAACAACAATGATACAAAGACTAGAAGATGATAAGAGGATCTATAACATAAGAATTAAGAACATGAAAGAAAAAGTAGGGACACAAACAAATGAAGTACAAAAGCTACTCACAGAAATAATCCAGGAGAATTTTCCTAATTTAGCAAAAGGTAAAGATACTCAGAAGTATGAGGCATATAGGACCTCAGCCACCTACAACCCAAACAGAGCTACACCCAGGCATATAATAATTAAAATTCCAGAAATCCAATACAAGAACACAATATTAAAAGCCATCAGAGACAAGAAGCAGATCACTTACAAGGAAACACCCATCAGAATTACAACAGATTTCTCGGCACAAACCATCAAATCACGAAGAGCGTGGGGGGGAAATAATGCAAGCTTTGAAAGATAATAACCTCCAGCCAAGATTGATATATCCTGCACAACTATCCCTGGAAATTGATGGAAAAACAGTGTGCTTCCAGGATAAAGAGGAACTAGGGGAATATGCAACCACCAGTTCAACTCTACAGAGAATACTGCAGGATATTCTAAAAAAGAAAAATACGAAGATCCAGAAATAGTGGCAGAGAGGCCATAATGAATGAAGCAGAAAACAAAATGAAGAAGACAAACTGACAACTAATGACAGAAAAAGAGCTCAACAGAAATGAGGCAGAGAAGATTGGATGGTAGGAACAGCTATTTTGGAGAAAATGATGTCTTAATAGGTAATACTGATTT